TTTTTTAAGTATTAAATCCAAGTAAACCAATAAAACCAAGTTTTCTTAGTATTCGATTGTTTGATATCAACAAACAGGCTCCAAATTGTCTTTTGTTTCTTTAAATTCTGTGTTCGAAATTCAAAAAAAGACTATTGAATGAAATTGTGAGTGTGCCAGGTTCAAAACTGCATAAAAACTTTTTGCTCGACCTAATATAAAATTTTAGCTAGGACCAAACGAAACTGAAAATACAAGGTGGGCCAATAGATGTGTCCAGAAAGAAGTGTATTATTATTGGTATTGGTCCGGTAAATACCTGTTACAGGATGCAAACGGACACAACACTTTGATATATTAAATTAAGTAACCATAAAAGAAAAATATTTAATACTTATCCTATCTCCAACGACAAAGTATAGCGTGATTCAGATGGGTACAGCGCCATCTATCGATACTTAGAGTAAGTAGTAAGCAATGTGTTTGTCCGTAGTAGTTTATTATTAATATTGTTATAGTCTCCCCCTCTATTCCGAAGTCCTAACGACGTTAGAAATAGACAAAACGAGAAAGTAAACATTGTATAGGCCTCAAGGCACATTTATTTATTCTTGAAGAGTTCACACTTATTTTGTACCTAATCGAGGACGTCCACGTTTTCTAATAGACTGCATATGTGCGGGCAAGTTGGATACTGCAGATTTTGTGTAATTGCGCAAAGCCGTTGCATGATAAATCCCTAAATTCTCGTTTGGTTTATCAGGGTTTATTAAAAGAAAACATGGTCCTTTCTTTTAATAATGTAAGGACCATCGCATCGTGGCCCTAGTTTTGCATTAAATGCTTGACTAGATATGCTTAAAAGATGAGTTTTCACCAAAACCAAATCACCTATCCTATCCTATAGATAGGACAAGCTCGACGTTTCTTGTCAACATATTCCTTTCTTTTTTCTTCACTCCATTCTTGTATTTCTCTAGCTCTTTTATTTACTTCAGCTATCATTAAAAGCTTTGATGTTATCTCTTTAACAAAATTCTCATTTTGAACGACGACATTTAAATCATGTAGGCCGTCATCATAGGTTCGAAGGTTTCTCCCAAATGTCAGATACGCTGGACTATATCCAGTGGCTGATGATACCGCAGTGTTCGTGGCAAATCTTATACATGGTAACTTTTTAGCCTTTAGCCCTGTTCTGTACTAATATGGCAATTTGTACCTTCAGATCACGGTTCCTCCTTTCTACCGGGTTAGTTTCTGGATGGTATACTGGAGTGAAACCATGTTTTATATTAAGACAGTACGTTAGTTGCTGCATTACACTACTAACAAATTGAGTACCATTGTCACTTATAAATCTACGAGGGGTTCCATACCGTAAAATTATTTCATTTAATAACACCTTGGCACACTCTTCTGCGGTGACTTTCTTGAGAGCGAACAGCTCTATCCATCGTGAAGCCACATCCTCAACTATGAAAATCCAGGTCTCGTCATTAGCAGTTCTTGGTAACGGACCAAACAGATCAAAGGCTATCACTTCGAAGCGTTGATTAGGAGCCGTTGTTTGTAAAAACCCTGCAGGTTTCGTATTCGACGGTTTATATCTCTGACATTGAATACATTGTTTAATATGTTGCTCAATTTGTCTTCGCATTCCTTTCCAGTAAAAATGTTTAGTTATTCGATCAATATCTTTTCGAGTTCCATATGACCAGCTGTTTCATCGTCATGATAGGTTGATATTACCTTTTGTAGATTCTGTGCCGGTACAACTAATGGTTTTTCCTCTGTATCGGCATCTTGATGATACCCGTATAGGACACCCTCGCAAACTATATAACCCTTTTTGCTCCAGTATATACAGTCTTCGTCATTATTACCTTCCAACGCGTTGATTTTTTTAACAATGCTCATATCTGTCATCTGTTCTCTTCAAATTTCTTCACTTTTCTTTCTAGGCAAATCCATCATTACGCTGCGTAGTTCACAATCAACAGTATTTTCTGGTGTACAGCTTGGGCATGATAAAGCATCAGCAACAACTTTTGTTTTTCCCTTAATATATTTGACTGTATATCAAATGGTTGTAGCTGAAGAGCCCATCGTGCTAAACGTCCTGTCGGGGACTTAAGAGACATTAGCCACTTTAAAGCTTGGTGGTCCGTTAAAACAGTAACAGACGAGCTTTCTATATATCCCCGGAACTTATTAACTGCCCATACCGCAGCCAGGGCCTCTCGTTCTGCCGTAGAATAATTTCGCTCAGCTGACTTCAAGAGTCGACTAGCATACTCTATTGGGTGTTCTTGTTCTTCCTCCCCCTGGACTAAAACTGCCCCCATAGCATAATTACTTGCATCAGTTTTAAGGATGAAGGGCATCGTCTCATCAGCTTGAGCCAATATAGGTGCGGTTGTTAAAAGCTCCCGAAGTTTTTTAAAAGCTTCTTTCTGTTCATCCGCCCATACCCATTTTGCATTCTTTTTAGGCTGTATTCAGTGCGATGCGGACCGTCCGCACGCGGATGAGGTTATGCGTCCGTCGCGGATGAATCCGTCGTTCAGTGCGTTGCGGATCGTGATCGAGAGTGGTACAGTGTCATGGATAAAACTTTGAATTTGGTGATTGCGGCCTATTTATTAAACAACAGAAGACGACGCTATGATAGAAGATTTAATGTGCATCCACTGGTTGAGAAAAGACTTCTTAAAGGAGAATTTGTATCCTTGTTTTCGGACTTGCAGAATGACGAAATGAAATTCTACTTATATTTCAAGATGTCCGTTAGGACTTTTGAGGAGTTGCATGCGAAACTGGAGCCCTCTTTAATGCGTTGCGATATATACAAGAAACCCATATGTTCGCGGGAGAGATTGGCTGTAACAATTAGGTAAGTAGGTACTTAAATAAATGAAAAATTGTTTTTAATTACAAAAATGGTTTATTCAATTTAAATTGTAATTATGTAATTAATTACAATTCAGTGTAATCACCGTGTTGCCAGCTTTCTAAAGACTCCTCCACATCACTCCCTGATAAGTGTGGTAAATCGTTGGTAGCGCTAGCGGTTGTTGCAGATGTGCTGGGCGAGTTCATAGCTGGACCTCTGATTTCCATAGCTAGCTCCAGTATTCTAGTTCGGAATAACAATTTTTTATAATTATCGAAATCGTTTATAATGGGTGCTAGTGAATTGAAAAAACTGCAGTCATCGTCTTTAAGAGCCGTGGACGACGCAGAGTTTGTGGTGGAAGTGTTGTTCTTTTCTATTATTTTCAATAATTGTGACTCAAATTCTGTCATACATCTCTTTTTTTTTTTTTTCTACGGTTTTGGAGAAGTCCTCACAGGTGTCTGAAATGTTTCTTCTGTTGACGGCAAGTCCGGGGTCGTGGCAATAGGTAAAATACTTTGCGAGTTTTGCGATGACGTTGAAGCGACATTTTGGGAGTTGTGTGACGATGTTGAAGCCATACTTTCATGTGTGGGTTCAAAGTCCTTTGTGTCTTCCAAAAACGTCATTATATCGTAAAAAATATACTTCTTTTTGACACCCCCTGCAGAACCGGACTTTGATGTCTTAAGAATTGCTCTACACTTCATGTATGCATCACGGGCGGTCTTCCATCTTAACTGAACAGCTTTTTCTGTAAATAAAATAATATAAATAAATAATAAAACAACACATGCTTATTAACTTATTTAATACACACTTTTTTTGTTGTTGCAGGTACCTGACTACTGGGTCAAGAATGTCTGATTTGCATTTAAGTTATCGATTGGGGCAATCGACAATTAAATACATCATTGAAGAAGTATGTTCATTAATATGGGAAATTTTGAAAAACGAATGTCTGCCTGAACCTGATCCAAATTTTTGGGATAAAATAGCGCTTGGCTTTGAAAGGGATGCCAATTTTCCCAATTGCGTAGGTGCCCTTGACGGAAAGCATACCAGAATCAGGTGCCCAAACGGAAGTGGATCCGTATTTTTCAACCATAAGCAATTTTATTCTATTATTTTACTTGCAATGTGTGATGCCAATTACTGTTTCACCTATGTAAATGTAGGGGCTTGTGGCAGCGAAGCTGACGCTAATGTGTTCAAGAAAAGTTCGTTATTTCATAGACTTGAACGAGATGATCTAAATTTGCCACCTCCAAAATTATTACCAGGTACATCTATCAACCCACAGCCACATGTCATTGTAGCAGACGCAGCCTTTGGCATTTCCAATACTATACTTCGCCCATACGTGCGTACAAATTTGACACACAAAAAAAAATATTTAATTACAGGTTAAGTCGTGCACGCCGATACATAGAATCGAGTTTTGGTATATTGACAAACAAATTTGCTATATTCCAAAGATCTATCAATGTATCAACATCATTTGCACAAATTTTAATCAAAGCGTGCTGCATCTTACACAATTTCATTAGAGTACGCGATGGTTATACGGAAGAAGACGCTATGATTGTAGCTGGATTTACAGATTACAATGCTCGCATTAGTACAAGATCGGGCAATACAATAAGAGATAATTTCGCAAATTACTTTGTTTCGAATGAAGGATCTGTACCTTGGCAAAATAGTTACATTTATTAGATAACACAGATGTTTCAATAAACATTACTTACCGATTTGTTTTTTTTCTTCACCTGAACTATCTCCGAAATTCGGACAAACAGCTTGGCAAACATCTATCCATGCCTTTAATTTTGCGTCTTTATTTTTATATAAATTGTCGCGGAGATTCCAAAGGCATGGTTTAAGACGTACTTCTTGTATAACCCTCTCGGTTTGCACATTTGACGCAGCCATGGTGACAAAGACTGTACTTTACGTCCGCTCCGCGCGACTGTCCGTTGGGCACTGAACAAATACATTGGGACCAAGTACCGTCCGCCCGCGGGCATCCGCGGCGCGGAGGAGCAGCGCGGAGCGATTTCGACCGAGCGCGGATAGCTCTCCGCGACGCGGACAGCTCCGCGTCGCACTGAACGCGCTGTAAGGCCCTTCGTACACAGGGCTACGCAAATCTTGGATACTAATGTTGTATACTACATTAGTATCTTGTCGCGAGTATCGAGTAGCGCATGGTCCGTACACACGACATTGAATCGCAAGACGTGAATTGCCTATTCAGCCACTGCAGACGTAGCGGCTAAACAGATTTCACATTTACAAAATGTCTGACACAAGTGATGATGAAACTATAATTTTGTACTATCTTTACCGGAAACAAAGAAATCGTCGTAACAGAAGATACTGGGTACATCCGTACATAGAAAAAAACATAAATTGCAGAGTGTTTGTAGCTGCAAAAGAATTACAACAAACAGATGCAAAATTCTTATCATTCTACAGAATGTCTAAAGAGAGTTATAGACATTTAGTGAATTTACTTGTTCCACATATACACCAGAGAGACACGCACATGAGAGAGTGTGTGAGCGCAGAGGAAAGGGTTTTAATAACAATCAGGTAATGTACAATTTGTTTTATTAAAAATCAAGAAAAAAGTAACAGTTCAAAGATTAAAGTAATACTGCTTTTATAAAATTTGCACAAAATATCAACTTTATCATTAATTCTGGGTATAATTTACTTCACCCATAGTGTTTTGGAGTAGATGAATATATGTAGTTTCATTTAGTCCATCGTTGGTTGTACATTGGATCATATTATTATTGGGCATTTCTATCCCAGTTGTTATCTGCGAGGATGATGCACTTGAAGTATTTGGTATATGTAGTAAGACCGGTGTTTGTGTTGGTGAGGTGTGAGGTACATTCAGTATGTTATCTATCACATCTATAACTTGACGTTTAAATGATCTTATTTGTGTCGATGTCATACAATTCAAGTCTGGCAGCAAACTTAACAAAAACATCTTGTTAGCGTTATTATTTGTCGACTCATTATTAACATCATTCTGCTTGCTTAATTTCGTTTTTAAATAATCATTGAAAAGTTTATCATTCTCACTTATTTTATTCTTACGACGCTGACGCTGAGAGGAGATTGATAGCGGGGTTGAAGTACGATCAGTTTGATGACTGGAGGATGCAGTAGGTGATGTCGGGGGCGGTGGTGATACGGAAGGCGGTGGTGATGCTAAGGGCGGTGGTGATATTGGGGGCGGTGTGGATGCTTGTGGTTCATCGTCTTGATTATTCAAATTAGGTAAACTGCCTGATGGAATTCCAGCTGATTTTATATAAGGAAGAGCAAACTGCATTGCATCTGTCAAATAGTATTTCTTTTTTTTTGATGATCCACTAGCCGGAGGTTTTAAGTTTCGCACGAAAACAGAACGGAGGTTTTTCCATTTTTCTTTCGCTTGCAGTCCTGAAAGTAAAAAACCTGGCAATCAACTGTTAATATTAAGTTCACTATTGGAATAATATCATGTAGAAAGTGTAAAGAAATAATATTAACATTATTTTAGGTATTTGGCAACTGGCGAAACATTCACATCGATTTCTTTATATTTCGCTCGAGGGGACTCTACAGTATCAAGAATAGTCGCAGAAACAACAGCAATCATATGGGATGCCTTGAAAGATACTTATATGCCAACACCGGATGAAAATCAATGGAAAATAATAGCACATCGTTTTGATTTGTTATGGAATTTACCCAATTGTTTGGGTGCTTTAGATGGAAAGCACATAAGAATAGAAAAGCTACCAAACTCAGGATCGCTTAACTTTAACTACAAGTCATATCATTCAATTGTTCTTATGGCATGCAGTGACGCTGATGGACTCTTTACATACATCGAAACAGGATTTGCTGGCAGGAACAGTGATGGCGGTATATTTCGTGCTTCAGCAATCAAACATTTCATTGAAGGGGGCAATCTTAACCTTCCTGCTCCTTTACGACTACCAAATGATGACAACAATTACAAATTTCCATTTTACTTTGTAGGAGATGAAGCGTTTCCGCTGTTACATTATTTGTTAAGACCTTATCCACAAAGAGTACTTGATAATGCGAAAAGAATATTTAACTATAGATTGAGTAGAGGAAGGAAGACGGTAGAATGCGCGTTTGGAATGATGACGGAGAAATTTCAGGTTCTAAGTACTGCGATTAGATGCCACGACTATATAAAGATAAATAATATCGTAAAATCTGTATGCATTTTACACAACTATGTTAGGAAAAGAGAAGGGATTCCATATAGTGCATATGAAGAAAATTCCAATAGCATACATGACGTCATCATACAACCTCAGCAAATTCAATTGAATGCGCACTCTTCGCCGAATACGTTAAGAAACTATTTAGCTAATTACTTTTTGAAACCTCAGGTAGCACTCCCATGGCAATATAATTATATTGTATAAATTTTAGTCAGTATAAATAAAGTAATTATGTAAACGCGAAGAAATATTTCTCATTTCTCATACTCGGAAAGTAGTGTACCTATCCAAGTATCGATGCTTCATCCCACACGCGGGTCGGAATGTTTCATTCAAATTCATTCACAACCAAGGGCCGGAATGAATTTCAAAAATAGAACTAAATTTTCTTAAGAATTCAGCTATCATTAATTTAGATTTTTATAGATCATACTAATATTATAAATGAGAAAGTTACGATGTTTGTATGTTTGTGAGTTTGTTCCTCAATCACGCAAAATCTATTGGACGGATTTCGATGAACTTTTGGTACACGGGTAGAAAAATACCGGGAATAACACATAGGATACTTTTTATCCCGGAATTCCCACGGGAGCGAAGCCCCGGGGCGCAGCTAGTATTTTATATTTGATGTCAAGTTAAAATAAATAAGGTTTAGTTTCTTTTTAGATTATAAAGAAGAAAATACAGCGGTGTTGTAAATGTCTAAACAGCCAATGCTGATTAAAAAAAATACCTAAAGCAAGGTGACGCCCGCAGCGGTGACACTACAGCGCCTGGTCACACCTCGGACACTCGCGATCAAATGTTTGAAACAAACGCGTTCCTGCGCACACAGTCTATTACAAAAGTATTTGTGAATTATATTTGATGTGGCCTCCGCTCTGGGCTCCGCGTCGTCACGTCCTTACCTGCCGATACCTGTGAGGTACCCGAGAGCGGGTGGGCGGCACTTTCAACGGGAGGCAGGGAGTGTCCATACTGTACGCTAGTACTCTTTATTATACTGAGGACTGGTGATTCCATATATAAAATTTTATAAATACTATTTATTGTGCTTTGCTATATCGAAATCCAAAATGTTATTGCCAGAACTATTTTAGAAAACATTTTTTTTTACTTATATATCTCCTTATATCCTCCTCCCTTATATTCGAAATGAAAAGTAGAGTGTTTACCACGTGTGAATGACATCAATTTCATACTCGGATTATAGTCTAAACACCTCGTATAGGAATTGATATTTTTCCTTTTTTACTATTATTTAAAACAACAACAGCGACGTTGGGATACGATTTTACCATGATCCTAGAACACAACAACAACACCGGCTAACCAGCAAGTTACAACAACATCAGCTATCATAATTAAATGTGTATACAAAATGTAAATACTATGAGCGTAAAATATAAAAGCATAATAATGAAAAAAAAAAATAGGTTCTACCAAAAAGTGCTACCTACTATACTTTACTATATTCCTGACTATTACAAAAAGATACCAACCTGTTAAATTAACGGCATTTCCTACTGCTACCCAACTTTTTTCCGTTATGTATTTTTTAGAATACTCCTTCAAGTTATAATTATATAAACAAGGATGTTTTTCCACCTCAGAAACAAATTTAATATTTAATAATTGCTCCGCCATCTTGAATGTCTCTGCGACTAATGTGGCGAAGATCTTGTCCGGGCGGTAGCGCGCGACTGGCGCGACGCGAGTCGCGGGACGAATGTCGGCGACGCGACTAGTGTACGAACCTCAATGAATTTGTATGGCGGTAGTCGCTTGGAGACTAAAATCGTCAAGTATCGAAGATTTGCGTAGCGTTGTGTACGAAGGGCCTAAAGGTTTCATACATTTTACCGTCCGTCGCGGACGTCCGTGTAGGTCATCCGCGTCGCACTGAATAGGCCCTTAGTAAGGCGAGTCAAAGGCTCAGAAATTTTGGCAAAGTTGGGTATAAATCGGCGGTACCAAGAACACATGTGAATGAAAGATAGCAAGTGTTGCATGTTATATAATGTCCAAGGTATTTGATTTTCTCACAGCAAAAGTTACATTTTTGCCTGTTTGCCACGAGATTGAATTCGCGTAGTCGGTTGAATAAATACACACACCGGCACAATTAGGGGAACACAAAAAAAAGGTTGATTTTTTCAATAAATTTAGTTTCAATATTTTTTTGGTCTTCAGCAACACATCACATTGCCTGAAAATAACTAAATTAAATCAAAATAAGCTACAAATTACCAGGTTTTAAAGAAATTAAACGTTTATTTACAAAATTAACAAAAAAATCTTAAAATTAATAGCGAGTGTTGCCTCCACGGGCTCTTAGGAGAGCTTGGATACGATTTCCCATACTCAGAATAAGACCATCCATCATTGGTTGAGGCAAATTGTTCCACTCTTCCACTAATGCCTGTTTCAGTTGTTCAACATTCCTGGGAGCTGGATTTCGCTTCCCTTCTTCCCAGAATATCCCAGACATGTTCTATAGGGTTCATGTCCGGTGATCGCGCTGGCCAGTTTATTTGACTAATGCCAACCTCATTCAGGTAGGTACTCACGATACGCGCAGTATGGGGGCGCGTTATCGTGCATGAAAACGAAATGTGGGCCTATAAATGGGGCAAAATGCATGGCCTACTATGAGCGTTGTAAGAATATAAGTCATTTATATCCATTATATATATATATATATATATATATATATACACATCAAAAGTGTCTAGGGATCAAGCATTTTTATGCGAATTTCGTATTAGGAGAGCTTGGATACGATTTCCCATACTCAGAATAAGACCATCGATCATTGGTTGACGCAAATTGTTCCACTCTTCCACTAATGCCTGTTTCAGTTGTTCAACATTCCTGGGAGCTGGATTTCGCTGTCGAACCCTTCTTCCCAGAACATCCCAGGCATGTTCTATAGGATTCATGTCCGGTGATCGCGCTGGCGTGTTTATTTGACTAATTGCAACCTCATTCAGGTAGGTACTCACGATACGCGCAGTATGGGGGCGCGCGTTATCGTGCAAGAAAACAAAATGTGGGCCTATAAATGGGGCAAAAGACTTGACATATGGTTCTAAGATCGCTGTGCAGTGAGAGATCCGTTTTCAATAAGCACTAAGTCTGTGCGAGCTCCCGAACATATGCCACCCCATACCATTACCTGATCTTCTACCATATGCCACTGTTTCTGTGAAGTTTGTTTGGTTATATCTTTCTCCACGATATCTCCACATCCTCTCCCGTCCATCCACGAAATTAACACAATAACGGCTCTCATCGGTGAATAAAACGCGACTCCACTCACTTGTCCAAACTCAGTGCGCACGGGCGAACGCAAACCTTGCTACACGATGAGCTGGCTCGAGTTTAGGTGCTTTTGCTGGCACATAAGATCTTAAGCCAACTTCATTAAGACGCCTCCTAACTGTTCGTTCACTAACATTAACGTTTCGGACTTCAGCCAGTTGATTTCGGGTCTGAACCGCGGTCTGTCGACGATTTCTCAAAGTTTGCAAGGTGATGAAACGGTCATCAACGGTGCTTGTAGCCCGATTTCTGCCTTGTCCTCGCCTCCGCACGTAAGATCCTGTCTCCCTGTAGCGTTGAACAACGCGATGAACCACCGAAGTCGATACACCCAAAGCTCGACTTACTGAGCGGTAGGTATGCCCCTCTTCGATCATGGTTACGGCCCTAGCCACTGTAGTTGCTGGCAAATCACTCATTTCGTATCGGGAATGTGTACACAATTTAAAAACAAACAGTTGAATGAGCCACAGTCACTATGCACAGGACCCAACAAAGTTCTTATCAGAAGCAATGCTAACGCTAAGTGTCATCAAATACTTAAAGTGCCATAAAAACAATTCTCACACTTATGAATGACAAATTTGTGGTCGAGTGTATTTCTAGAGAGGGTAGTAATACATAAATAATACCAACTTGTCAAGATATCCGAAGGTATTGAAAAAAATCTACTTTTTTTTTGTGTTCCCCTAATTGTGCCGGTGTGTGTACATCCTGAAGATCTGTTAGATGTTGAGCGTACGTAGGAGACAAATCCCACCAACCACCCATGGCCTGACGACCTTCTTCCCCTTCAAGGAATCTAGGTCTCTGCCTAACTGCTCCAAATGCATATTTATGTCGTCGCTGTATTGAAAATACGCGGACACCACGTAGATTTCCTCTTCGTCAGTGAGTAAATGACACACAGTACAGTGCGTGGTTGACAGATGTTGCAAGAGGGCAAATGGGAGGTCCCGATGACGGACATAAACGCCTGATTTCGGTCGTTTGCCGTACTGCACAAAACAGCTCGCAGCGTCCCAAAAGGGTCCAGGGTAATGCTCCTGAACCAGAACGACGTCTAGACCCATTTCCTCAGCAACCCTTGGTAGTTACAATGTGGCAAGCTCTGCCCCCGCCAGATTTATCTGGTCGACTGTACATATATCCGGAGCCATTAATATGCCGTGATCTCCACCATCCTTCTTTCGGCATGGATCCTTGCTGGGCAGTCTCTAGCCCCTGTCTGGTGAGATTCCGCACCTTTCTGCCCAAACTTGAAACAAGTGGCGCACCTGTGAGTTTCCCTGACACAGTTTTCAGCAGCGTGCCCCGTCACCCCATATTTCGTGCACGTACGGGCCTCCTGCTGACACCGCCTCTCATTGTGCCCGTCTGTGCAGCATTTAGTGCAGCACATTGCAGTGGTGAAGTCCTCCACGCAACAGACATTCCACTCAATGTACAGTCGGCCTTTTTCCACTAGAGCCTTCTTCATTGCTGGTGAGCAAACGATCACCATCGCCGATTGGGGGTATCCTCTGCGGCTTTTCCTAAAGGCCAATCTTCCTTGCTTGAGAAAGTTCTCAAGCGTCCTTTGTCCGTCCTCCGAGAAGTTTTGGCGATGCACTATTCTCATGATATGTTCATAAGATGGATCCTTCCCCTCCAGATCCCTTATGACAACTTAACGTTCCTTGCCCTTGACTTCGCTGGCTCTTACAGTCACTGGTAGCGCAGCCGGTGTCATCGTACGCGTTTGTACGATGAAACCCGAATTCCCGACTTTCCGCACTTTATTTATGCACCCCCCCCCCCCCCCTCCGAGCTACTCATCTTGTTTGTTCACAATGTATTCGGCCAATGTCTCGTACACCAAATTACACAAATTTTCCCCAAATTGGGAAAAAAATTCACTTCATGGCAATAAATACCCGATAGGATGCGTGGATCCTAACGCAAGTGTCAAACTGACAGTGACACCGACGTGTCAGATGTCTGTGTCCACCTGACAGACGTCAGCCGTCAATTTAGGTATATTTACCTCTAGTAACCCACTAAGTCTTAATATCTTACCACTTTTCCAGGCTGGCAATACTTATTCCAGTGCTGCGTGCACCGGAACGTAACTTTCAAACGTCTTACTATTTGTCTCTGTCACCCACTGACAGTAACACTGACAATATCAATGTCACACACGACAGACGCTAGCTGTCGGACGTGAAAAATTCACGTCCTACCCACTTATGTGTACCATCCGGTCGGTGACCGCGTGGTCCTAACCTAAAAATAACCTACAAAACTACTCTAATTACTACCAAAACACTACACTAATTAAGCTAAAAATTGTTCAATTATATTATTAAAAAGGAGGTTTGTACTTCCCTTATTTGGCGTGATATCCAAAGGGGTAAAAACATCCACCACGTGCCCCGAGTTCACCACACAGTGTCACTTTCACAGTTTTATCCACTAAAAACACAGAAATAACAAATAAAATAACGTCCTATCGCCTAATATAACGGTTAAACGTATTACACTATGCGAAGATAATCCCTCAGGAGCTTTTCAGCGTCACTGAAAAGGACAATCAAATTTCGAAAGCCGAGCACTACAAATCGTGTGCTACAAATGACTTACATGTTGTTGAAGTTAAAGGAGGATCAAACTCAGATAATGCCGTTGTAGTTGCTACATCTGTTTCAATTATTTGGGGCGGTTCTTGTGGTCGTGCTGTTCCTAACCTTCTACGCAAATAGGCAACTGCATCTTCGTAAAGTTCAGTGTCTTTAAATCCCAGCTTTTTGAACCAGGGGTCCAAAACAGTTGCTTCTGCATATAAGTTGTTACGTTCTACATTTTGAAACCTCTGGGTCAGCTGGTTTTCAATGTGGTAAGTAGTAAAATTATTACTGTTTACAAAGTTTCTCCTTCTTAATGTTTATTGACATGACTAATCATAATTTTACACAGTACCGAGACTTTCGAAAGGGATATATATTTTTTGGAACATATTTCTGTTGTAATATTATAAAATATATCCATGATTGAAATGGCTTTTTCCACAATATCCAAAATATTGGAAGTCAAATTTTGGAAATTATTGACCAATGTTGCTATTGTAGAAACTGTAGCTTCTTTCATAGTGAAAAAACGTGTTATCATATCGTATGTTGAATTCCAACGCGTAACCAAGTCTTGCTTCAGCTTGAGTTTAGGAAGGCCTATTTGTTGCTGAATTCCTTTAGTTTGGCCAGTCCTGATGAGCATCTCTTATAAAACTTTAATCGCTTTCACTTTTGACAAAACTGTATTCAGACTACTGAGACAAGCCTGCACAGCCAAATTAATGCTGTGTGCAAAACAGCCGATTTGCCTCCAACCTCCTTCTCGAATACCAGCGACTATATTGGCCGTTTTATCGCTAACTATTGCTACCACCTTCTTTTGTATTTCCATTCTTCAATGTTTTTTTTTTCAGACAATTGCAAGGATTTGTGGCAGTGTGTCTCTCTCTCATTAAACGGAAAGCGACCTAATAGGTAGCTCTTAATGTTACCATTAGAGTCCAAATAATAAGCTGTAATTGCAATAAAACTCACGTTATTTATTGATGTCCATGAATCTGTTGTTAAACAAATAGCATAGGCAAAATTTATGTTAACTTGAACTTTTTCATAACATTCCTGATAAGCTTTTGGTAAGAGACTATTTGATACAGTTTTTCTAGTATATAGTTATACCCCGGAATAATCATATTAAATAATTCTTTTAATTCGGGCTGTTCAATGAGCGAAAACGGATGATAGTTCTTCACTACTACTTTTAAAATCTGCCTATCAATTTGGGTGCATTTTTGCAATGGTTATTGGTTTATGGGTAAAATCTACAATACTCAATTGTTATTTGGTAGTATTGAATGATTAAGTCGGTGATACTATTGATGTGGGTTTCTTAACTTTCGGAAACATCTACTATGTCGTTATTGTCAAGCACGTCATCTGTGTCGACACGAGCTATAGGTACATTCGCCGCAGCTAACGTTGATTGTCTCTCTAACTGTATTTGAATCGTCGGGTGTTTTAAATTACCGATCGATTTATTTGGAATAGATAGAGTTTATGAGCAAAAACTTAACTTCGCTTTTTTGTCATTTGATCTTTGAAAAACCGATTCCACTATCGTTACTTGTTACCAAGTTGTTCAACTTTTTCCACTACTAAATAATTGGCTGAGAAAAACGACAAAGCATTATGTTACACAACAGTATCATCTTTAGCAATAAGCGATTCTCCACCAACTACTCCAAGGCATCATAGTTAAAACGCCCGTCACGTGCGTGTTGCATATGCAGAAAAGTTTGTCACTACATGCACTGTGCCATGGCAATGGAACTTGATATGATGAATATGTAAATACCTTACATAAATATTTATCTAGGTACGTTGATTTTATTGAATACCTAATATTTATCATCCCGTGCTACCCCCGTACCAGCATCAGTCCCCTTCGTGTCCATTGCGCTGTCCCTTTCGAAAAACCGAGATGGTATGTATGTTAATAATATTCACAGTACAAATAGACACGGTGATAGGTGCATCTAAATGAAAGCTAGTAATAATCAATAGCTAAATTAGTTTACTTACGAGATTTGATGTACTGCGTTTGTATCCCACAAACACTGTTTAAAAATTCTGCATTTTAAACCAGTACAGTGTAGGTACATATATATCGTCAGAAGAGCAACCACTTTTAGCAGACTGCTTTTATTTTTGTTAATTCAGTTGTAAAGCGGGTCCGTATAGTTTTCCTTTATGTTTGATGTCTTCTTCAGTAACCTCGAGGTTCAAATCACTAATTAGGGATTTTATAGCGTTTGTACGTAGTGTTACGGGACGTGCGTCTGCTACCGAGCTCGAGACGACAGAATGGCCGAATCCGAGTGAACGTTCTCTCTGTGTGCAGACCGTTCATTTTTCGTTCTTTCGCAGTTGGAGTGAAAAATGCCGAATGATAAAATCTAACATCGTCGAATCGGTTCATTAATGAATTCATTCGGCACTCTTGTTTCATTTGGGGTTCAGACGAATCATATCGAGTGGTAGATGCCGAACGAAAGACAAAAATGTTAACCGTCTGATACCGTCTTAAAGGTGAAGATTTGGAGTGAATCGACGAAAATTCACCGGATATTACACCAAGTGCAAGCAGCTCTATACCGCTGTATGAACGTGCTACTCCAGCACAGGATAAGGGAAGGTTCATATCTGAAGTAAAATACGCCGAGCGTATCATCAGTCGCGTCTATTCGGTCGAATGTGTCAGTTCATATCAAACGGAAATTGCGTCGAGCGTAACATCCGTACTGCCACATGTCAGTTTCTGCGTTTAGCATCTATAGAGCGGTTGTGTTGTGTGATACTGAATTTTAAAATGAAGCCTATCGAAATAATTGCTATTTGGGAGACTTTAGAACAAGACCGCAAAAGGAAACGTCGATATTGGGTGCATCCTTTAAATACTAAAATAATATCAAGTGGCCAATTTAATTGTCTATATGCAACTTTAAGAGAGTATCCGACAAAATTTATTCAGTATTACCGCATGTCCATAGAATCTTTTGATGAACTCCTTACAATTGTAAAATGTTCCATAACTAAGTATGATACGAACTTTCGATGTGCCATTACTCCTGAAGAAAGACCGACTATTACATATATATATATATATATATACACTCACCGGCACGGAAACTTGGCCACTCGTGATTTTACTGATTATTTACATAAAAAAATTTGCATTTGTATTTATGACTATAAATCAAGGGTAAGTGGCTTTAATACGTGTCTCTTATGCTTTAAGAACTTAGAAATTAAAAGGTCACCAATAAATCAGTTTTTAAAATCACGCACTTTCACTGAAATTTGGAATTTTTCACTATAAATTACAAAAACACTACAAAATAAAAAATAAGGTTTTTTCGTTATTGTCTATCGGGTGTTTCCTCCTCTAGCCCTGATAACTGCCTGCATTCGATCTGGCATACTTTGGATTATGTTTCGGACATCAACTTGCAGTATGCTGCGCCAAGCAGCCAGCGCTGCAGTTCGGAGCTGGTTTAGAGTTTCAGGCGGGTTGGAGCTGGACTTTATCTTTCTTTTGAGCATGTCCCAGATATGCTCAATTGGGTTTAAGTCTGGGCTACGAGCTGGCCATTGCAATTTTTGTGTGCCAACCTCTTCCAGATATTCTTCAACGCAATGTGCAACGTGTGGGCGTGCATTATCGTGCATTAGGAGGAATTGGTCGTGTCCAATGAACCCAGAATATGGCATTACGTGTTCCTGAAGAACTTCCTCGATGTATCGAACAGCTGTTAGCCGATTATCGACGATAACCAACTCTGTACGTGCGTCGGAACTTATACCTCCCCATACCATTATTGAGCCTCCATGGAAACTCACTGTTTGAGTGGTAGTAATGGGTAAAACCGCTCTCCTCTTCTTCGCCACACTCGTTCTCGACCATCTGGAGAACGTAAAGCTATTCGTCACTCGTCTGTGAACAGGGAGCTTAGACAAACGCGGAAGAATCCCTAAACGGGGATCCCGCGGTTTCGCACTAAGCAGCTTAGAGGGTATTCGCAGGACTTTTTTAGCGGATATTATACCGTAAAGCGCCAGTAAGAGTTGCGGGGTCCTCGGTGGGCAGCCACTGTGGGGTTCGTAAGACTTGCGGGAGCCAGGTGTGAGGTCCGTTCGGCGGTGTGCCTCTTAAAGGCGCCGTCGTCTGTAAATAGATTTTTTACCTGCGTATTAAAAAAAAAAAAAGGAGCTTAGACAAAGTAACAATTTAAAAACGATAACGAAGTTCGAAATTAATAAAATGTATGAAACTGACATAAGCCGCGCTAAATCACGTGGTCAATCGTCATCGTCATCGAAAGTTGGTAGACAAAGTTACAAGTCGTAACGAAACGTTAAAATAATGAATTGTTTGAACGCTTAATCCCATACAAATGCGTAGACAAGCTGCACTTTATACGTTCGTCTTCGCTGCGATCGCGATCTTCGAAATCGTTAACGAAACGAATGCTAAGACGCTGTAGATAACACAACAACATGGCCGACTTTGTTTATCGGCTGTGATTTTGTCTAATTGTCTCAGACCAAATAGTCGTAAATCAAAGTATTTAGAATGCATTCACTACGTCTACTGTGGGCTGCACATAATGAAACCATCTGGAAGAGACGCCAAATGCGTTTAAGATTGAGACTTCAATTAGAATAAATTGAAGATATGCCTGAGTTGTTGTTAATCCAACATTTCATTCTTAATAAAATCACATTTAGGCGGTTATGTGACGACCTGAAAGGTCATGCTAGACTAAGTGGTTCCTCTGAAATTCCCCTGGAGATAAAGGTAAGAAATTTCATATTAACTTATTTAATTAAATTGTACTTGAAAAATAAGTCATTGCACTTTATAACCTATCTTCAAAGCATCTTGATTTTCTTAACTTCGTACAAACATTTGATAATATATTTGATGGTATAATGTAGTTTTTAACTGCTGTACCTAAATTAAAATAAAACCTCGTAAGTACTAATTTAAAATAAATCACAATGCACTATTCTATTTCTAGGTGCTCTGTACTCTTAGCTTTATAGCTACAGGGTCATACCAAAGGATTGTGGGTGTGGGCCAGTATCTGACACAACGAACTACAAGGCGTTGCATCAGAGAGGTTGTCAACGCCTTTAATCACAATTGGATAATCAACAGGTGGATAGTGTTTCCACAAACACCACACGAGAGATCACTCATCAAAGAGAAGTACGAACATATTTTTATTTAAATAGGTTAAATAATTTATAACTTTCCTAAAGCTAACTCTTGTTGTAAAATTGTTAAATACATGCCTAATTTACAGATTTCAAAGGAAACATAATTTGCCTGGAGTGATAGGGTGCATTGACTGTACCCATATTGCTATAACCAGACCAAGCGAAGAAGAACACATATTTTTTAATAGAAAAGGATATCATTCCTTAAATATGCAAATGGTAAGCAGTTAGATAATCTCTAATCATAATAATGTAAGGAAGAATGAAACTTGAATGTGTCGGAGTGGGCGAGCGGGATATAGGCGGTTGGCCACGTGGTTCATCTTGATCCGCCATCTTGGTTATTCAATGATATTTCCCGAAAATAAAACTTTAGTCTAGTGACCAAGCTAACGTTTAATTTGAATCTTCTTATTACTTTACAAAATCAGTTATGATTGCCAAGGTACAAACGGATTGCTTTGTGAAGCGCGGAGAGTTCTGTGCTAACGTCCGTTCACTATCGCGGCTCACGTCTGAATGCTGAATGTCGAATGCCCCTTCCAATGAAGCGTTACCCCCTTAAATACTACCCTTAGCATAGACCACTCCCAAGTAATGACAGCTGTCACTGTCATAACTTGACGTTTCACAAAGCAATGGTACAATGACTGATG